ATGTTTGAGGAAATCCCCCGTTTTTTCCCTAATGCGGGCTCTTCTAATCTGCTCGGCAGCCGCCTTTGTGCTGTCATCCTTTGAGCAGTTGCTGAGACTGCCCGAAGGTGGATTTAGCACCCGCACGCCTTGAGCCTCCTCCAACAGGCCTGCTGATCCGTTCACCAGAATAGCGATGGGTGGAAGACCAGCCTTTGTCAGCCGAGCCAAGGCCGGGCCGCCGACATCTAGGAGGCAGTGAAGACCGCTTGCGGAGACCTTAAATACCGATTGGATGTGCGTTCCGTAGAGATTTCCGTTGTATTCACCCGCCTCAACAAACTTGTTCATGGCTATTTCGGACTCCATCTTGGCACGACTCTTACAGAAGTAGTAGTCTTTCCCATCCACTTCACCCTTGCGTCGCGGTCTAGTGGTGACTTCAAAAGACAAAAACAGGAAAAGACACTCAGAAAGCAAAAACATCGACTAAGATAACTGCATTCGCCGCCGCCGCCGCCGTTGCTTCATTGCAAAGTATTTGTGCTTGTCAGATACAATTTACTTTCGGGGCAAGAAAACCCAATCTAATAGAGTAGATTTAATTTGACTAAGTGACAAAATTGAATAACCAGATAAACTCCTTTGGTGAAGCAAACTAGTACACAACAAATAGGTCTGCGGGGATGGAATTGCTGACAGTAACCTGACTTCGATAAATGAGCAGTTTGTAGGCTAAGCATATATATTTACTCGTCAAGTAAAACCTTTCTTTTAAGTATTATGGCCAACTTTGTGAGCTTCTTAGTTCGCGTTATTATAACACTTTGACATTATTTTGTTTGTGTTCGAACGCCGCAATATATATTTCCTCCGCAAACGACATTTTGCATTTTTAAAATATTAAAATCTTTCTAGTATTCTTGTATCATGAAGGAAAGGAAGCAAATTCGTATAGTCATTTTGTAAAAATACAGTATCGGAGACGGCTCAGAGTACTACTGGGGAAATATGCTCAAATAGTACCAGATGGCATAGAAGAACAACTAAGTTTTCTAAATTCTACCTCAACAAATGAGCCACGCGGTCGGTCAGAATTAAAAGTGAATAATGACGAACTGACAGTCCTCTTCCAGTCTACATTTAAACGAACATGAATTACGGTTATTGTTTGGTTTTACTTAGAAAACAGTATTAAGTCGTCCAGATTAAGTCGATAAAGTGAAAAA